ATGAAAAAGAGAGAATTTTCTAGTAAATGGTTGAGGGCGTAATCATGGTTTGAATATGATGAGGAAAAACTGCATGATTTGCAAGCTTTGCATAAAACACAGTAAATGTAATGCTCTGCCTAGCACCCTTATTAGACACGCTGACTAGAGGCCATGAACAGGCTGTGGTTGCTGAATCCATGACTGGGTCCTTAGTGTAGGCTTCTGGGGGGGAAAATGAGAGGCAGCAGCTTTATGTGCATTGAAAGCTGCCTTCTGGATAGCAAAAGAGGGTCTTTCAATAACTAAATCTGAAAGCCTTGTCAGCCTATTGAACCAATTGAACTGCCCTGGTATCTCTTCTCTGAATGTAGACAAGACTGCGACCTGCACCTCTGACAGTGCAGCAGAAGAGTTCATCCAATCTCTTACACCTGTTGTCTGAAAGAAGGCTGAAAATAGTCATCTAGTGTCCAGGTGTCAGTCTATTGTATGGGGAGACTATATATCTACTACCCAGAATCTGAGTGTCAAGGTATCAAGGTATAGATGAGAAGCAGAGGATAATATTCCGATGCAAGAAATAGCCTTGCTTCAAACATTGTATGTATGTTGTAGGCTTGGGTGGTACCTATTTTTTCATATAGTCATACTTTCTAGACATTTCACCCCAGTATACAGTATATTACATATTTTAAAAATATATATATCATGTAGGATGCTCTAAACTGTGAAGTCACAGAGAGCCTAAATGGGCTTATTGGTGTGGAAGTTCAGTGCTAGTGAAACGAGGAGACAGCTCCTTGTTGAAGTTAGAATATTACCCATCATTTTTTGACACCATTGTCACTGCCCCATCTGTGGCCGCATGCACACTCATGTATTCCATGCATGCTTCCCAACAGTTTACTTTTTACATACTTAAATGAAGATTCAATCACTACTAATGCCTCAGTATAACATCTCCATTAATTTCAAAGAAAGAGAAGCATCTGTGATTTTAACTATAATACTTAATACTTTTGGGATTTCTAAATACCGGGGCGTACCATAATACCATCATACTGCTCAAACCTAGACTGAGTAATGCTGAGTTGCATGTTGAAGAATTTACAGTGTGAAGTTCAACCTTTTATGTGAATGTCCATGTAATAATCTGCCATGGATACAGTCTTTGGACATATACACGCACATCTCTAAAAGAAACATAAAATGCTTGTTTTGGTCTCAGTCCTTTGTCCCACCCTTTTTGAAAATGGCCTTTTTCTCTCATGTCTGATGGACCATTTGGCCCCACATTTTGAAAACCTTGGCAGATTACTGCCACTATATGCTTTTTAAATGAATGTGAACTTGAATTTCAATGCATCCGTGATATTTCACATCTCCTTTACTGCCATACCTGCCTCTGTTTTAACACTTACTTTGTCCTATTCACTTTTGATCACACTGTGATAGTTAATGAAAAAATGTTTCCATTTGAATAGTACTTTAGTAACCATTAACCTCTTCGCCATATAGTTTATTTGTGAGTGTAACGCCCTTATTCCTGCCATTTCAGAATTTGTTTTAAAGCTACCCTCTTGGTAGGGGAAATTGTCATTTCGTCATTGTCACTTCCAGCTATTTTTCTGATGATCCGTCCATTTTTAAGTGTGTGGGAGTGGTGAGTGGCTCAGCAGGTTAGCACATGAAGGTTGCAGGTTCCTATCCTAGGGTCGGCAGTGTGATGTCACCATTAGGCTCCTGAGCAGGGCCCTAACCTCGTAGTTGTTCCATGGACTGACTGACCCTGCTTTCTCAAAAAAATAAAATAAAAATTAATTGCTTTGGATAAAAGCATCTGCGACATAAATAAAATGAAAGTACAATTGCAGCTCATGATATTTTTGGCTAAATGAACATTGGTCTTTGCATGTTCATAGAGCTTTTGGTATGTGGAATCTCACTCTAAAAGCTTAATAACATAATATTTCAGATAAGCGTGACTGATCTTAAACCCTCATAATGCTTCTGATTGTTTTCAATGCGGCACGGAAACTGGACTGGCTGGGTGAGCAGAGCAGCAGCTGTTACGTGGCCGGGCTGCATTTTTCTTCGTCATTATATAGCCTAAATTGGAATGGGTTCTTTTTCTTAATCCCTTTGATTTTAAAGCAGCCGCTGAGACACCCGAGTCCACATCCATAGCCTTTTGGTTGCTGTCCGGCGCAGTCAGCTCTCTGGCCTGGAGAGAATGAGAATAGTGTAGAGGAAGCCGCAGACGCCCCGCGCTGGTGTCTCCAAGATTGCAGAGCTCTTACATCATGCTGGATCCGTTCCCCTGTATCCCTCTGCTGTCTGAGATGGCGCGATGTGAGCTGCACCTTTTTAACCAGGGCCCTGCTTTCCTCCCCCCGCCCGCAGCCTTATGAGCCTCCCGACGACTGGTCTGAACACATCAGCTCTTCTGGGAAGAAATACTATTACAACTGCAAGACCGAGGTCTCCCAGTGGGAGAAGCCCAAAGAGTGGCTGGAGAGGTACTGATGAGCCTGCCTCATAAGCCGCGCACCCTTCCCCCCCCCCCCCCCCCGCCCCCCTTCGGGCTGCACAGATTGGAAGAGTCACCCATTTCGCTGCCTTTCGTCGTCTTGTCCTCAGAGAGCAGAGACAAAAGGAAGCTACCAAGATGGCCGTCGTCAACAGTTTCCCCAAGGATAGGGACTATAGGCGGGAGGCCATGCAGGCCACATCTGCCGGCGGTTTTGGCAGCGCAAGTGAGTACGGACAAATGAGTGAACTCTCAATCACCCCTTCTCTCCATATACCATACTTCCCCTCTTTCAGCTTGGTGACTTTTCTGAAATGAATAGAGGAATAGGTTAATGTTTCAGAATGTAGCCTGCAGACTTCCTAGACTGTTTGTTTGCGTTGGGGTGGTAGTTGGGTGAATAACAAGCTAACTAGTTAATGTCAAGGTTTGTTCTGGGTCTTGGGTTTTGTTTTCTGTTGTAGTATGAGAATCTAGGCTTAGGTGGTCTAGAATTTCCTGGAGTTGAGGGGTGGGTGGTCTCCTGTGTTATTTTTGTGTATTTTATTATGCCAATTGCTGTTTCAATCAGATGTGCCCCCAGTTATTTTACTGGTTGTTGCCTTTTAAGCAGCACTCTTAAGCTGGTCACCTTCTCCTGGTTGCTTTGACCAGGTTAAACACAAAAATTTATTCCATGTAAGTGAGAATTTAACAAGGGTTGCTGTCATCAGCGTGAGTGTTGCTATTAGATCTTATTAGATATATGGAAAGCCTCTGTTAAATAAAAGGAACCAAATTAACAGGTTTAGTGGTGGCATACAAGTATAATGGTTCTGTTCAAACCAGGACTGCACCTTCTATGAGGTATTACAAAATAGAGCTATGTAATGGACAGTGACTTGGTTAGGTCATTGTTGCTCCTAATTAACGCTGAATGCCTGAGAGACATGGTCATGTGACTGTCCTCTGTGATGGGGGTACAGCTGTTCTGCTGGCCCTGCGTCTGTCTCAGCCTATCAGCAGGAGCCTGGCTGTCATGTGGTTAGCTATCTCAGTGGACTTTTGGCAGCTCTCACTCAGCTGTTTTGCTTTTATTTATGATGCATGTCTTTAACAGGCTTTTTGGATGGGTTTCATTTTGAGCTATTTGGCATATAGTTAATGCCCCCCCCCAATCTGTCACTATGGGCAGGATGTTGTACAGTAGCAGTGCTAGTCTCTTCTGTGATTCTGGTAGTTAGGAATATATTGTAAACTGGGGAATGCATTTTAATTTGTCTTTGTTTGACATCTGGATTGCCTGCTGGGGTAACATGAAACTTCAAATGGTGGCTCAGGTCAGTCTGTAACACTGCAGAGAAGCAGTCTGCAGTAGAATAAAGTGAGTGTTATAGCACATTTTGAGAGTTGTATTGCTTCAGGTGGTCTCTGCAGAGCACCATAGGCCTGATAAACACGGCAGATGTTTACTGAAAATACATTATTCATGTACCAGCCATTCAAAAGTTGTTTAATAGAAAGGTGCTGTGTTTGTGCCCCCCCCCC